TAGTATGCATTTATTTGTAGAAATACTCTGTTTCAGGAAAAATAATGTATTCCTTTCGGGACCATGCTTCATCACATGGCTTCTTGTTACTTGTATGAAGTGCCAAGAACCTTGAGAAGGCGGAAAAAAAATCATTCCTCTCTGTTTGCTCTGTAGCTCTCATTCTGACAGTGCTCGAGCACAGGCTTTATTGGCTAAAGAGCCACAGGGATTCAGTGAAACAAAGAATTCCACAGTCGTAGAGAATCTGCTGCTCTCAAGGGAAGTATACGATATGACCTTGGCTGATCACTGGTAAATATGCAAGCTGCCTAGCAAAATTCAGAAGTTCAAGGAAAAGCCACCAAACCCTTACTGATTTACATTTGGAAGCCGTTATTATCATAATGTGATGTGCTACAGAGTGAATACTTAAAGAGAAAGCATACAGTAATATGGAATTTTCTACTCTCATAACTGCCGTATGAACAAAATAATCGTATCAATTCCTACACAAGTAATAAAAACAAAATGCTAGTCTGTTAGTATTTGTAAAGCATTGTAAAGCATTGAGTACACTGTTTTAAATTGAAAAGATTAGCGTACAATGAGAGTAGGATTTAAATAAGAACAACCACATTATTCAAACTCCCACTATGAAACTAATATATTTCCTAATGATACATAAATTTGATAGTCTTCAGTAGTCCTTTAAGACAGTATTTCTATTTTTGACAGGAAAAACAGGAGGTTAATAAAGTAGGATTTATTAATACAAATATTTCTGAAGGTTTACACTAATAAGGCATGGCAAACAAACCCATACCATAATCCTGAAGGAATAAGAAAACATTCTTTTATAAATTTATATGTTGATTTCTACAGTAGTAAATAATTTTAAATGTATTTTTGAAAATGAGAAACTCTTAAGTTACTCCTCTCACATTCATTAAAATGCTCAGATCATTTATAAAAGCAAATATTATAGGTAGAATTTTTGTCTTTTGATGTTTTGTTATTTCTTCTACTTGTTTTTCTCTCCAAAATGCGAATATAATGAACAAAGACTATTAAGTAAGAAGGGAAATTTTTACACAAACATTTATTTAATCTTTAAAAATCACGGAAAGTCTCCACTAGATTCATTCTCAATACAAAGTCAGCATTTTAGTAAATTAACCATGGCGTTCCCACTGATATTAAATGATAAACTGAAATATTTTGATAACTTTTTGGACATCATAAAACACATCTATTCTCTAATGAGAAAAATAATCTCTGCTACACACAGCTCATAAATGGTTTTGTGAGTTGGCTAAATATTGTTTAATTCAACTCTTCATAACATTTCATCTGCTGGCTTGCACTTATAAACATAACATGAGCTACAGACACCACCACTTGTTGCTGTTTAAATTGGAAACACATTTGTTGTGGGAAAGCATGTATCATCAGAAATAAAATTTAGGAAAAGTTCATTCATCATTCTAATCCCTCAATAAGTCCAATCATTTTCAATTTTTAGGACACTGAATCATTCTATCCCTTGGTATATACAGAATTTGATAATAGGATAGATAGAATTTTGCATTCTTTTCTTCCATCCAAAATCTCTTAAGTTGTATATATTGCCATATTATCTTCGTAACCAGTTACTTAATGGACTATTTCTGGTTTCTTAGGCACGTTATGTCTCTCATTTTCTCTAATCTCCACAACCCTATTTTTCTGTACCACACTGAACATCAACATTTTTCATTTGTATGATTTTCTCTCTTCAGATAAACTTTCTGTAGTACAAACTTAAAAATATTTTTATGGCTTTTATACTTCAAAGTGCTTTGTAAATTTCACTGCCAGTAACAAAAACATGTGTACCTATGTGTACTGTGATCTTTACTAGTACCTAGATATGAGTATTTGGTATTGTAGGGAGGAATACTACTTTTGTAGAGATCAAGTCTCAATAGCATTGCTTTATATTAACTTTAATTATTAATATTGTTAAATGTTTTAAAATATGTGCTAATCTCATTTCCTATTTTGTGGATTACCTTTCAAGAAATATGTAGTTCTTATTTTAAAACTTAACATGTATTTTTAACACTTTATTTAGAAAATGATCCTCTAGCAAATGAATTTTCCCAATATAAACTGTTTTAATTGGACTTTGTCTTTTGCAATAGATGAGTTTAATAGTTTTATATTTTTAAATATGTCATTTTTTTGATATGTTGTTTCCCCTACTACTACAAAGTCCATATAATGATTCTTCAAATGTTTCACAAATATGCAACTTCTTTCAAAATTTAAAAAAGTACTTATTTAATCCATCTGGAATGCATTTTTCATATGTCATGAGATATAAAATCTCAAGTATTTCTCTTTTGAATTAGCTAGTAGTACAACCATTTATTTAAACAAATCCTCTTTCTCATTGTTCAGTAATGCTGATTTTCTTATATGTATTAAATTGTTATATGCAACACTGTGGAATTTTCTATGCTTTCTATTTAGTGCACATTCAGAAAAACTTTAAACATATTATATAGATATAATTTTACTTATTTATATGCAATATTTATAAATTAATCTGGAAAGTACTAATAACTTTATATACCTTTATATATGGAAATATAATTTACCTATTCATTAACTATTTCTTCTTTTATAACTCACAACAAATAACATTTTAAAGATACATCTAATATATACTTCGTGAGCAAAATGAAATAACAGGAAAAGTAAACACCAGAAGATATCTAAATCAATGGAATAAAACATAAGTATGTATAGATGTATACGTATATATAAGATATGATAGAAAAATACAGTGAATGTTTAAACTTAAAAATTACTATAGTAAAACACAGTAATCCCCTTCAAAATATCCCATACCTTTTGAACACCCGTGTCCCATAGATCTGGCCACTCTCTGAAGCAGGTCTGGAAGTCCATTTACAAGTCCTTAATTGTGCTATTCTGGCTGCCTGGATGTCCTGAACTGATTAGAAATTATTTCCTATCCAGGTCATTTTACTTTGAGGAAGAGGCAGAAGTTGCGTGGTGCCAGACTTTGTGAGTCAGGCAGATGAGGACACACTAGAATGTTTTTCCGAGCTTCCTGTTTATGATACTCTACAGCAACAATCACTGTCTTTGATCACCCCTCATAAAGCCATTCATGAATGAAGACTTCAGAACCACTTCAAAAAGTGGCAAGAATGATGGATCAGAGTATTTGAAGTGAGTGGGACTGTTGTGATAGGAATGTGTCTTGTACTTCAATACATTTTCAAAAATTTAATCATTCACCATGTGTTTGAGCACAACACATATATTCATGGTCAAGTGCCATGTGATCACAGGCAGGGATTTTGGCATCTGTAAGGCTCTGTTAACCACTGGAACACAGCATATATACAATAAATGTTAGCGACAGTCACAATCTTTAATGTAACATGTGCCCAATACCTGATATTTTACAAATTTCTTTTATTTATGTCATCTCATTTGTTCTGCTTGATCCTTGCAAAGCTCTGAGAGGATACTGTTGTTAAAATCAAAGTGCAAACACATGTCTTCTTGTGAATCAAAAACATAAACTCAACAAGTGTGGTGGTAGATTCTTGTAATCCCAGCACTCCAGAGATTGAGGAAAGAGGATTGCCAAAAATTTAAGACTTCCCTGGATTACACAGGAGTTCCAGGCCTGCCTGAACTGAATCATAATACCTTGTCTTAAACAAACAAACAAACAAAAACCCCCAACAACAACAAAAACCCAAGTACAATCTCATTTCATATCATGACACAGTACATGTAAAATAGTGTATGATTTTCCAACTATAATAGTTATAATTGCCCTCTCATCGTATTTTCTAATTAGTTTCAATTGCTTAAAGGAATATTATTGATTGTATTATATTTATCTTACGTTGAACAGTTACTGAGTTCTTTATTACCGTTTTGTTTGTGTATGCTAATGGTGACTGAATTTAGGGCGTTCACATTTAGCTATATCCTCCACCTTTTAAAACAATTTCAATTTTGAGAAGAGTTCTTGCAAAAATGGTAAATTGCTCAGGTTGGGCTCAAACTTGCAATCCTCCTGCTTCATCTTCCCAGAGTTTCGGGTTTACAGGCACATACCAATGTGTCCACCTCTTTATTGCCTCTTAAAAAAGGTTTGACATTTTATTTCTTTCTGGTCACCACTTTTCCAACATATGGTTGGTATTCTAGATTCAAATATTAATCAAAATCAACCACTGTGACATGTTAAAATCTTCCTGATTAGGAAGCATAAATGCAAAATGATGATTAAGCTACTACAACTTAGCATCCCTTGATTTACAGACCGCACTAGTTTAAGACTACTCCGCATCCACAACCTTTAAACCTCAGAGTAGCTCTCCTGACAGAAAAGCTAATGGGATAGCATGGCAGGAAAGGGAACCAAAGGGAAACAACTTGCTCCTGGAAGGGCTTTCAGGTGGACTCTTCCTTGGGGAAGTGAGAATAAAGGGATGAGCAAGGAAGAGGCTTCAGGCTGCACACTTGGAGAGTTTTGCTGCTTTCACGTCTCCTGATGCAGAGCTGCCTAAGTTCTTCCTCGTTATAACCTGGACCTTCCATTGCTAACTACAGCCCCTGCCCTGGACATAACTTCACTTATGAGAGGTTCCATTTAAGAAGAACACTGAGTCATTGCATCTTTCCCAGACTATTCCCTGGGCATTGGATATTTTCTTTTGGAAAAATAGTAATAATAAAGTGTCAATTTTCATTAAATCAGTTGGTTAGCATGATTTAAAAAAATCCACACCCAAAGATATCTAAATCAATGGAATCCACGCAAGAAGATTTCATTTTTAGTTCATTGTTCTATTTGACCAATTAGAACACTCTTTAAAAACTCTAAGAAGGAGTATGGGTAAAAACCAGAAATGACCACGACGACCCTGTTCTTTGCACCGCAGAGGCCTGCTGAGCCCGCCTCAGTGGGTCCCAGTACTCACGGGTGAAATGGTTAGAGGTGGATGGATTGACACTGTCTCCGCTGTCTGCGCTTTCACTGCTGGAAACGTCGTCATCGGATTCCCGCACAGAGGAGCAGGGTGAGGAGCCGTCCACTTCTTCAAACTTCCTCTTTAAAATTCCACTCATTGCGGCAGTGCTGTCACATGGACCTGGAACAGGATGGGAGCAGCAGAGCATTGAAATACTTGACCACCGAACATGTAGCCCCGGCCTCCAGTCACTTCCCTGTGGCTTTTTACACAGGAGCTGAGTCGTAGTTTTCTTTTGAAAAGACCCTAAGCAGATTTTTTTTCCCTCTTTATTTTCAAAACAACGAAATCAAATGAAATTAAATATGAATATTTGACCATTTGTTTATCAAACATTTCTATTTTTTTAGATATGGTTCATTTTTATGTAGTACCACTGTTCCTTTTGTTGATAAACTGAGGAAATGCACCTATGTTTATGAAATTCTGTAAAGATAAATCTCAGTGTCCCTCAAAGGCGTAAATGATTACACAAAATTCACCTGGATGAAATGCTCAAAACAAGTGTGCAAAAACAACACTAAAGTTTTAAAATTCAAGAAACTTAATTGGTACAGTGTAAAATCTATTCTGAATTGTAAATTGTTTTATTTCACTATCATGCTGAGGTGAAAGGTGTCCCCATACTACCTGGCTGGTGACACAGTTAACTCACTCTTCTTAAAAACTTCCTAAGGCTGTTTTCCTGGGGGCACCACTAACTGAATGGAAAGCGGTTGAAATGGCTCAGAGATCCTGTTTCTTCTAAATAATTTCTCTTGGAAGAATGGGCTTTGGCTTCTCCCTTCCTGCCCTTTCCCAATCTTCCCCATTTTACCTTGACATATGTAGGGTCCGCTAAAAGAGATACACTGTCTTTGAAAGGTAGGGATGGTTTATATGAACATGATGTTACATTGTTAAATTAGGTTAATTTAGGTGAAAGGATTACTAAGTCAATTCTATGCATTCCATCTTGTACCTCATTTATATCAGGTGATTTTGACACTTCTCTGAGTTTTTTAAGCCAAGTTTTTTTTTTTTTGGTCTTTTTCTTTTTCATCGGTACCGGGATCGAACTCATGACCACACACTTGAAAGGAAGGTGCTCATGCCAGTGAGCTAAATCCCCAGCCCCAAGCTTTTTTTTTTTTTTTTTTTGAGAGTATATCCATCAGTACTGCAGATCAAGAGGAACCAAGACCCCCTTAAAACTATTCCAAGGTTCACTCAGCCACCTTGTCTTAGCATGCTCTATAAAATCTCTAAAATCATCTCTTCTCTGTGCAGATCAGAGTAACCAGTCTGCTCAGCTGGCCTTGAGCTAGGCCAGCTTTCCACTCTTCGATTCAGTAGTTTTCAAAGTACACTACCTGGGTCTGTAGCAGCAGTACCCCAAAGAGGGCGGTGGTTCAGAAATGCAAACTCTTAGTTCTCACCCTAGATTTCCTGGTATCAGAAATTTCCAAAGCCCAGCACTCTCTATTTGATGGGAATTTGGAAGCATACTTAAGTTTGATGACCGCTTGCCTAATTTCTGGCTGTATCCAGCATCTCCTTCCTTGGATTGTACCTGCTTTGCGCTTGTCCACATACCAGCTATAGAGAGGCCCCTAATCCCACACTCAATTCTTAGTCAAAGTCTCTTGACCATCACTGGTAAAACCAAGCACCATATTAGATTTATCTTAAGTATTTATTTTTATTTTTATTTATTTATTTATTTATTTGGTCTTTTTCCTTTTTATCGGTACCAGGGATGGAACTCACAACTGCCTGCTTGCAAGGCAGGCGCTTATGCCGATGAGCTAAATCTCCAGCCCCCCAAAGTATTTATTTTTAACTGCAACTTATTCATTTATCTAAGTATGTGTGGAGTAACTGCATATTTATGCTTGATTCCTTGAGTGGATAAGGAACACACTAAGGAGTTTGGGAGTGTCACCTGCCTTTAAAGAGCAAGCATCCACTCTGCTAGAATCCATCAAATACAGCATAATCCATGCTGTTTCATCAATCCATGTCTTTTGCCTGACTGTTCCAGTAACAGTGAAGACAGCTGATAGCAAAAGGAAGATAGATCACTGTCCACTGTTGTGAGAATAAAATCTATTTGATGCTGATTTTACCCCATTCAGATTAGCATATTATTTTCTTCATCTTAAAGAGTGTAAAATATATAAAATGTTCATGCATATCTGAGCAGGGTGAAGAGGATAAAAAGAGATATTTTAAGTCTAATCTTGAAATAAAAGTAGGACAGGATATAAATTTTAAAATGGTTCACTTCAAACAAGATGCAAAGTAATTCATGAGGGAGAGGCTCCAAGACATAACGTAATACATAAAAAAAACTATGTTTAAAATTACACTTTTACAAGTATATTTTATAAGAAGATTTTGCAATGGGAACAGTTAAACACTTTGTCTTTCTTAAGCTCTGTTCTCCTTCCCTTCTGCTTCCTCAGGAAAGGCAGATTTCTCAAAAATCAAGGACACCAACTGGGCCACAGGGAACCACACTGCAACATCACAAGCAGTTGTGTTTGAGTCCCGTCTCTCTCTCTCTTACTTCCTCAACAAAGAAAGGAGGGAATGTGGGAAAGGTGATATGAGATTTCCGAAGTTGCTCTTTTCCTTTTGCTATTGCATTTGAGACTGTCAGGGCCTGAAGCAATGGAGTTGTAAAATGGATCTAATTTCTCTCTAGATCTCCAGTACGGAAAAAGTCTGAGTTAGACCCAAGATGAAGAAAGAAAGTAATTGGTTGCAGAAGTGGGAGCTGTAGCTAAGCTTGAAATTGAACACTGAAGTAATTTTAGGGGTCCATAACCTTTACATATATACACATGACACTAAGGGCTAAAGTGTTTGCACAGTAATGAAGCAAAACAGCTTTCTAGTTTCACTGCCTTCAAAAGATATCAAAAAATTATATCAAAATGTCATAAAAATTATGATGGCACATGGCCCACTGCTTACCAGACTTTTAATATACTTGTAGCAACCTTTAATATACTTAGTAGTAGAAGGCTAAAGGGGATGTTGTTTCTCCCAAATTACCTTAGGGGGTGAAAAAAGGGTCCAAGAATTTAAGTGGTTCATGCCTAGTTTTCTGGTGTCTTATGCTGGTTCTCTAAGAAACTAAGAATGGCAATATGTGCCTTGTTAAATAAGATCAGGTGAGGAGAAGGAATGTCTATACTATTGCTACCCAGGCTCTTTAAATACAACACGTTGTGTTTTTCTTTTCAAAGATAAAGCATAATTAAACTTGATAGATATAAAAGCAATAAAATAAGGATAAACATTTCAAATTGGCTTCATATGCATCCGAAAACCCAAAGAAAAATCAGGTAGGCATTAATGTTCTCTGAATATAAGCAGCTAACAGCAGTCATTTTACCCCAGCTATCACTGTCTAATTCAGAAAACATGTGCTCATCAAGGGCCCCACCATTTCTTCTGGACTAAGACAAGAAGGTCTGAACCATCCTTTTCCGTCTGCTGCTGTTCTCTTTTAGTGGTGTGTTTCCCAGGTTGCCGGCAGAATCATAAAATTTAAAATCCGTATCTGATCACATTAGCATATAGCTGAAAACTCTTAAGAGACTTTGGATTGTCTTAGGATAAAATTCAAATCCTCAAATTGGCTTATAACGTCCTTGAAGTTCCAATCAGAATCCAGAGGATGTAAGATGACTAGCCCAGCTTGCTAACCTTCTCATCCTCACTTGGAGCCACTGACCTTGTTGCTATTTCAACTTTTTTATAAACTTTCTGTTTCTCCAACTTGCCACTTTTCTCTGCTCTGTCGGCCAGCTGCTATACTTTTCCTTCAGATCTCCTCTTAAACATTTGTCCACAGTATTTACTACCTTCTAAATCCACATTATATCCTCACATATTTCTGTGTTTATTGTTTATTGATTTCATTCCCTGATAAAAGAGAGAAGAGCAGAGGATCTTTGTTTTCTGTCTTGATATGCCAAATGTATAGAATAGTGTCTTACGTATAATAGGTGCTCAATAAGTATTTGGTAAGTGAATGAATCCTTTCATTTTCATATGTTATCCTATCTGTTCTCTCTGCTAGACCAGAAGCTTCAGGAAGGAAAAGATCATGTGTTTCCCATTCATGCTCTATCTTCCCCTAATAACAAAATATCTGGCATATTAGATTGAATGAGAATCAAAATGGAAAATAAAATTGACCTTACAACATCATACAATTGTTTATTTATTTATTTTGCTGAGAACACAAGAACCAGTGCTAAACTAACATAAGCAAAGGATTTGGGAATATGTTGGAGTAGTTTATGCAACTTACAGAAAAACAGAAAACCTCGATTTAGATAACACAGGGATCAGGGCAGCTTTGGAGATTACTGACGTACAAATTCCTGGATCTTTTCTCCAGACTTTGCCATCACCAGGTCGGTAGTCTGCTAACTTCTCTTTTACAACACAGCTCAAGTTTAATGTTTTAAAGGATGAGACCTTTTCGCCTGTGTTTGGCTAAATGTCTGTCCACTGATCATTCGACTCCTCGACCAGTGGAGGAACACTGTGAGTTTGCAGTCACCCTGAGTAGTAGGTTCTATTCCAGAGTCTTACTCAGAGACGTTAATGAATTCAATTGCATCAAAGCCAGTGCTGTGTCCCTGTCCAACCTGATTTATCTTATTATTTTTGTTATAGGCAGCTGAGTTAGTTAGAAATATTATAGGCAGTAGGACAGGGCTGAGCCCTCAAAGGAGCCAGAGCACAAGTTCAGATACCTTGCAGCTTGGAAGAGACAATCAGCTCCTACCCTGGGCCAGATCTCAAGACAAAAGGCAAAGCAAATACAACCACATCCTAAGGATGGACTGTCCAAATACTTCTCTCTCCTGAGGAAGTCAGGAGTCAGCATCCCACCGCCACCCCCACAGGAAGAGTCACTGCTGTTAAGCATGCCCACTTCCTGCGTGACTCGCTCCCCCATTTGTTCCTAATTTAATCAATTTTACCTGAGCAGTTAATCTTATTGGTTGACCACAGCTCTGTCCTGCCTTATGCCCACCTTGCAAATTGCCATTTTTCCCCACCTTTGACGCATCTAACCTCATGATTTTACTCTATAAAAGTCCCTAGAAAAG